CCATCAGCACACCAGTGAGACCCAAGAAAGACCCAGCTCTCTGGATCCCTTAGGGTCATGGAGGCCGCCTCTCCCTGCTTTCGTCCCTCTCAGAAGACCACAAGGAACTACTGTGCCGCTTAACACAGAAAGCAAGAGTTCTGTGCAGTACCCCTACCTGGTAAAAGAGGCTCCTTGAGAGCATTTTAGAGGTAGGTTCCAGACCCTCAACCTAGACTGTCTCATTAATCTTAGAATAAGGCCTGGAAATCTGCATTTAAAAAAGTTCCACGAGAAATTGGAATATACAACCACTTGAAGATCACAGCCTATAATGTACTGTGTTAAATATAATTTTGCAGAGACTTGAGAGCAGAACTGATGTTAATTCTCTCAATAATGCCAACCCCCAGAAGGATCTTATGGTCATAGACCGTGAAAGTCTTGATCCAGACCAAGTTTACTTTTTACTTAGAAAGTCGCCTTTGTCCCTCCCTATTCCAGCAGAGGGGAAGCCCCTGAACTTGTGAATGTCATCTGGTGGTAGTTACTGCGGTGCTCGGGATGTTGGAAAGACTTCTGTTTATTTGGCATGCTCCACACAGCCCTGTCAGGCTCTGGGGATTTGTGGCATTTGCAGAACTTACAGGACAGGCAACATAAAAATATATAATTCATAGAGTGAAATATTTTGGAAGCCCCTTGGCTTTTACAAATTGGCCATAAAATAGAAACCACAGACATACCGTTCGTATAAGCATAGCTGCCGAGAATGAAGAATCATTTGGGGTGAGGCTGATGAGATCTTTTGGTGCAGATTTCTCTATAGGACACCCAGATAAAGAGTAAGGATTCAGAATTTGTGTGTAAATAATAATAGGATCTTCCAAGTTGGTGATGTAGTTCCTTGCCCGACAATTGGTAAATACCTATTGAAGAACGTGGGGATGTCTAGGTTGATGTCCTTTAACAGTCTCTAAATTTATCATGTGAAGGTGTTTGCATGTCTTGTAGACGTTCTCAGTATGTTTAGGATTTTATTTATATTTCCCTATAAGTTACTGCTTCTTATTTTCTCTTTTCTTAGTGGAAATGGTTCCCAATATCCAAGGCAGCTGTGCACATGACTGCCCGGATACCTCAGGGGAAAGAACCCCACGCCTGCTGCTTTCTTTCCCCATTAGTGGTACTGACACTCAGGGCTTACATTAGCTTGCTAGAATGAATCCCCAGAATGGAGACTGGAGCTAATGGGCTCCTGTCGGTTCCACTCAGGCATTCCCGGGACTTGGGTAATGGCTGAGTAATGGCTGATGATACTGGTTGTGATGCCTGACTGTTGAAAAATAGCATGTTTAATGAGGCTGGATACATGCAAGACCGGAGAAAAGAAATGGTATCTTTGTTACAGAAGTCAAACTGAAAGTCTCTTTTGCTATTTCATTTTATTGTATGTTAAAAAGAGTGTCGTCCTGGGGTCAGGAAAGTTGAGATTTCTCTTACTGTGTGGCATTTTTTAGTTTTGTGACCTTGAAAATGTGAAATGATCTCTCTGGGCCTCAGTTTACTCTCCAGAATATAATCATAATGTCTCCCTCACAGAGATTTTGAGAGGATGAAATGGCATAATAGAAAGGAAAGCTCTAGCCAAGTTAAACACAGATCAGACGCGGGGTTAGGGTGATAAGGGTGATAGTACAGGTTAGGGTAGGTTGGAAGGCAAGGAGGAGCCACTTAGATGTGAGTAGTGATGCTTAAGGCATTTGATAATGTGAACTCTTACAGAAATGCACAACTAGAGTAAAAGACAATGAAGTTATTTGATCCTGGTTTTGTTAACAAGGATTTAAAAGGTTTACACAGTCCAGGCCCTAGACTGATCAGTTTCTTCTTTACTATCTTTCCGGAAAGTGCTCTTCAGCTAAAAGATGACAATGGTTTTTAAATCATTCCTTCATAAACAAGTCTCTGTTTCTCCCAAGAGCAAGGATGAATCGATCTCTTCTTCACTTTAACAGCCAATTCAACATCAACACATTGATTTAACCTGCCTCGTTGGCCCATTTTTAATGCATTGTCTAAGTTCTTTCAGAAAATGGTTTTAAATTTGAGAGAGATTTGTTTGTGGTGGCGTATGATATGTTCTTGAAAGTCACAGTCTGATTCCAAAAGCTTTATGTGATAACAGGTTACCCAGAATATTCACGTCATGCAGCTGTATGTCAGTGTTCAAAGAAATGGGGGAAATGGAGTCACAGTGGGGAGGTTTCTCTCTCCTTTCTTTTCTATTATTAATGCAGATATAGCTGCACATGTGATGCAGGGATTTCTGTCCTTATATAAGTGTCAATCATAAATAAAGTATTTATAACTGTTATTTGGGGGCTTACCACAAGACCAAAGGAAAAATTGGAATTAACTTTTTTAAAAAACTAATTTGCCAAGAATCTAAATGTAAATAACATCTTTGCTTCTTAGCAAAAGGAAGTAGACAGAGAATAAGCCTGCTCCTGTATCTACTCACTAAGCAATTTAAGAGAAATTGTTTTCATCTATGGTTTCTATGTAACTAAACCAGTTCTTTATCTAAGCTGAGATATACCTGTGTCCTTGGATTAAAATGCCTACCTATATATAAACTCACATATCTTCTAGGTTTGCCCATGCAGATACAACAATTCTCTCTCGATGTTCAATGGTGTGCTATAAAACAGGAAAAATTGATTTATCCTAAAAATTGAGTGATCTCATTCTGTGGAATAAACTTTGTTCTTATGCTGGCAACTCTGTCCCAACAGTGGTCTATGTCCTGCCTTGTTAATAACAGAAGAGTCAAACTTACAGACACTATTTTTACTATGTTTACATGAAGCAGGAAGCCTCATTATAAGTAGGACCCTTCCTGGGGACATGGTTGATTTCTCTGAATATTAAAGTTGCCTCAGTTGTCAGAGGACTTATAAGGAAGCACTTAATGATTAAATCCAAGTGAAAGTGACATGTTATAATGACTGTCTTTTTACTCTGATGATTTTACTAGCATATGCTTAGAAAGATTAGCTGTATTTGAGAGTCTCTTGACTTCACAGGTTAGTGGAATCACTGAGTTAATTAAACAGTACATTCAATCCCACAAAGCAACCAAGACCTATCAAAATTTCAGTGGTCTCTTTTTTGCAGAAACCGATAAGCTGATTCTAAAATCTCTGTGGAAATACAAGGAACCCACAATGGATTTTAAAAAGTCTTGAACAATCAAGAACAAAGTTGGAGAGATTTACTCTTCCTAATTTCAAAATTTATAACAAAGTCATCATAATCAAGACAGTGTGGTACTGGCATAAAGAAAAATGTATAGACCGGGGGAATAGAATTGAGAATCCAAAACTAGGCCCTTGTTTTATGGTTAGTGTATTGTCAACAGGTGTGTTAAACAGTTAAATGAAAAAAGAATGCAGTAATCTTCTCAACACATGGTGTTGGAATAATAAGATATCTACATGCAAAAGACTGAAGTTATACTATCTCATAGCATACACAAAATTAACTCAAAATGGATAAAAGACCTAAATGTTATAACTAAAATTAAGCTACTATTCAGGAAAAAGTCATAGATATGTATCTTTGTGATCTTAGATCATTCAATAGTTTCTTAGAAATGACACCAAAGCATAAGCAACCTAAGAAAAATTAGGTAAATTGCACCTGTTAAAATTAAACATTCTTGCACTTCTACTTTTAAGAAAGAAAGTGGAAAGACAATTCAGAGAATAGGAGAACATATTTACAAATCATCTATTTGGAAATCCAGAATTTATTTGTATATAAAACTCTTAAGTGTACCAATAAAAAAGCAGCTGAGTTTACAATGAGTAAAAGACTTAGATATATATTTCTCCAAGGAAAATATACAATGGCCAAAAAACACATGAAAAGATGTTTAGCATCATTAGTCATTTGGGAAATGCAAGTCAAAACCGTGAAAAGATACCACATCACACCCACTAAGATGTCTGTAATAAAAAATAAAAACAGAAAAACAGGCAGTAACAAATGTTGGCAAAGATACGGAGAAACTGGAACTCTCATATATTGCTGATGGGAATACAAAATAGTGCAGCTGTATTGAAAACAGTTTGGCTGTTCCACAAAAATATTAAACATTGGGTTGCCATAGATCTAGCAGTTGAACTCCTAGGTATGTATACCAGAGAATTAAAAACATGTGTTCACGCAAAAACATGTACACAAATATTCATAGCAGCGTTACTCACAGTAACCAAACAGTGGAAATAATCCTCATGTTCATCAACTGATGAATGCATAAACAAAATACAGTACATATATACAATGTAATAGTAGTCAGCCATATAAAAGAATATAGTATTGCTCATCTTACATGGATGAACCTAGAAAATATTCTGTGAAGTAAAAACTAGGCACAAAAGAACACATGCTTTACAATTTCATTTATGTATTTGTCTGGAATCCTATAGGTAAAACCATGACACAGAAGGTAAAGAAATGATTTGCGGAGCCTAGACTAGTGGGCAAAGTGGAAAATGGTTATTAACAGATACAGGTTCTTTTGGTGGTGATGAGAATGCTCTGGAATTAGATAGTGATGGTAATTGTATAACTTAGTGAATGTACTAAAAACTCCCTAAATTGTATACTTTACATGATGAATTTTGTAGTGCATGAATTATACCTCAGTTTTTAACATTACTACATTTTTCTTGATCACACTACAAAACTAAGTTGTTCCAATATACTATGACTCACACAGGATGTTTTCCTTACAGTGCATATTTTTATACATTGTACTTTTGAAGAAACAAAAGACGGTCTATAATCAATCTTGTAGCCTCCATGTATTATATATTGGTGCACATAGAGTGATAGAGTGATTCTCTCACAGGTTATGCTGTGGAGATATATGTGCCTTGTACTGAAGTTGAGGCGAGTACCATACATGTTTACACTTGACATTTCATGCTTGCTCTCTGTTCTTCTCACAGGTCCTTCCTTTCCCCAGCCAGGTGGTGTATAACAGAGTCGGCAAGTGTGGGAGTCGCACCGTGGTTTTGCTTCTGAGAATCTTGTCAGAGAAGCATGGATTCAATCTGGTCACGTCTGACATTCACAACAAAACCAGGCTCACTAAAAATGAACAAGTAAGTGGGCTTTTCTCATCCTTAAGATCTATTTTGCTTCCATTCATTAAAAAAAAAGGATAGTTGGTGGCATTTAAAGTTGTCATCGCATTTTATGCCTAACATTGTTTATTAGGAATAGATTCTTTTCGGTTTCCTTACTTGACTGATTAGGCTGGTTATGCCCTTTTAACCACCGGAAAGAAAATACAAATAAATAGCCTTTGTTACAATTTTATTATGATTGTTAAATTTGGCTTTCCCATGCATTTAAATCTTAGGGTCTACTTATCAGATTATCCTTAAATATTTCTAGCTATAGAAATAATACTCATTTCTCATAAAACACAGTTGCTAAATTTTAATTTCCATTCTTGAAGAAGGTGCCAGAAACCCAGAGCACATAAAACAAAGGGTAACAGAAGGACCTGACATGGGGATGTTCAGGAATGTCCTAGAGAAGAGAACACAAAGTAGAGTACATAATTAGGTTGTGGGATTTTACACAGATCAACCTACATTTTTCCTATTCTAAACATGAGAAAGTAAAAATGTTACAGTTGTAATTGTGCATGGAGAAATTTAGATGAGAAATTAACAACAGTTTACTGATGTTATACAGATGGTTAGATCCAGAGAAGGTTAAAGCCAAAGTTGCCATTCTCTAAAATATATGTTTGTTCTCATCTGTTTGGAATGGTTGGTTTGTCTAGAAGCCAAGCAACAGACTAGACAATCCTTTCAGGTTCTTTCCAGTGCTGTGAGTCTTTGATATATTCACAGAACCTCCAGCATTATCTGTGTGTTATGGAGTTGAAACTTCTCTGAGTCCTGTGGTCAGTATGACCTAGAATATATTTCATTACTCAGTTATTGCAAAGTCCTATTAAATTATAAGATAAGAGTTTAAAGCCTAAGGTAAAAGTAGAGGTAAGATAGAAAAAACACTCAATTTTGATGTAAAATCAAACATAGCAGTGACGGCCGCCTCCCCTGCACTCAGTCTGCCTGGCTCAGGCACTAAGAACGGAAGCCAGGAAACAGTGGACAAGAAACCATGTCTGGAGAAGTTCAGGAATGTTTAGAAAAATTTGTCCTTGTTCTATGTATCCCTTTATTTAAGTTTGAAGTGCATAAAACAAGCAGAGAAAAAGATTATTTTAACTTAATATATTCAAGAACTAATTAGTGGTATGAATGACTCCTCTTCTTGGCAATTTATTAAAGGGATAAAGGGGAAATAATTTAGGAGTGTAGTAAAAATCTTATAATTGGTGGTTCTCTTAAACAGTAGAACTCTGAAAATGTGTTCCCATGGAAACATTGTTCTCTTAAAAAAAAAAAAAAAAGAAAGAAAGAAAGAAAGAAAGAAAGAAAGAAAGAAAGAAAGAAAGAAAGAAAAGGGAACAATTCTGCTCCAGTTGCAGTAGGAGTTAAGCAGGCTCTTGTGGACTGGCTCGGGACTCTGTCCACCAAGCAGAACATTTCTTTTATGAGAAAGTGCGTTCCAAGTTCCAAACTGCTGACTTACAAATGAACTTTGTAATAGTATCCGTGTAGAAGACTGGAATTATCTATACCATTTCATTCACACACAAAGACACGTCTCTGGGCCGCAGTGAAGTCAGTTTACACAGACTTCTCTTCCTGAAGGCTGTGGGATCCCCCACCCCACTAAATGTTAAAAATCTTACTTAATGGAACAAGACAGTAAAGGGATTATTAAGAGGGAAAAAGAGCGTGAAGACACCAAATGTTAGGATGCCTATAAAAGTCCCATTACATCTGCTCTTATAGAAATAGAAACACCTTTGAGGTTTGCGTTTGAATACCTCCTCCTCAGCAGGAGTGCTGGAACTGCTACTGGCCAAATGTTGGACCTTCGCACGGTGTGTACCACACACCCATGATGACATCATTTCTTTTATGCCCGAAACCCAGATTTCAATTTGGGGGGCTGGCTTAGATGATCTTGGAAAGTGGAGATTATAAACAATTCAAAAGACAGGATCCTTTATCTAAAATACATGGGGGTAGAATCATGCTTCTTATCCTTTTGGATAAGATCAAGTGTAAAGAGAGGGGGGGTGGCTGCCGAATATATGTGTATGCATCTTTGCTAATGACTCACTGCTGTAAACACAGTGAAGATTTGCTCTAAGGACAACGAGGGTTCAAAGTGCTACAGGCAGATCATGGACGTCGTGATCCACGTTATTTTATTCTTGTTGGAAATGAGCAAAAATTGTTGGCACAGGATCCTAAAAAACATTGAGGGAACAAATAACTTTACTATTTATATTTTTATTGAAATTCCTGAGGATTACGACTTGGAAACATGACTTGCTACATGCTAATTGTTCTATTTCATTATTTCATTTAACTCTTTTTGGACCAAAAAGTATATATGATTTCCTGTTCTATGATGATAAAACTAAGACAGCTCAGTGAAGTCACTTTCTAAAAATCATATAGTGATTGTGTGTAGCAGCTGGACTGGAACCCAAAGCCATTCTCATCATGTGGTAGTTGCCTGCTCTGCTTGGACAGTAGAATCTCCAGAGAGCTTTTTAAAATCCAGAATTATAGATAGATAGATAGATAGGTAAAATAAATAAAATCCAGAATTGCAACTGCCAATCTGCTAGAGATTCTGGGGAGGAATCCAGAAAAATTTCTGTCTCTTTCTGCATCTCTGTCTTCTGTCTCTGCCTCTGTTCCCTTGCCTTCCTCCCTCCCTCCCCTCTTTCTGTCTGTCTTTCTCTTTCTGTCTCTCTGTGTCTCTCTGTCTCTGTCTTTGTCTGTCTGTCTTTCTCTTTCTGTCTCTCTCTGTCTCTCTGTCTCTGTCTGTTTCTGTCTGTCTCTGTCTCTGTCTCTCAGTCTCTGTCTGTCTCTGTCTGTCTGTCTGTCTGTCTGTCTCTCATGGTGCCCCGGAGGTTCTGCGATGCAGTCAGGGTCCTCATGCCACTTTCCCTAAGTGTCTTCCTGCAAATCTCAACCCCCTGAACAAGGAAAAAAGAAAAACACCGTGATTCAGTACATTTGGGAAATGCTGCATGCTTTTTCTATTCACAGTAGTTATTCACATTTTACAAACTCAGAATTTAAGCATAGTTAAAAAGTATCTCTATAACTGGGTTTTTCACCTAGTGTTTTCCAGTCCTAGTTCGTCAGGAAGTTCTTTGAAGTGTTTGTACGTGCTTTCTCTTGTATGAGGAACACAGAGTAAAAATAAAGATCAAAACAAACGATAGATACTAAGAAGTAGGGAGGTAGATTATTTTCTCTGGGGACGGGAGGGGACCAAGTTGGTGTGGGAAAGATAAGGGATTAAAGAGCCATTTTTTCATTTTTCTGTATATGTGTGGATTGTGAGTTTGGTGTCCCACCTAAAAAGATCTCACTTTTGCAAATTTTGAGGCTCCATTTTCTACTTTAGCAAACTAACAAAACAAGTTCTGGTGCAGAATTTGCTTATTTTACTCTCTTCGCCAGCTGTGAGTTTCCCTCCTGACTTGTTCCCAAAAAAGAACATTTTCAAATCACATAGTAATAAAGGAATTGCAGTTAAAAGTATAAAAAGAAAGAAGAAAGGAATTGGGGTGTGCTGTGTGTGTGTGCCAACTGCGCACATGGGGTGCAAACATTCTGTACTACAAACGTACCCAAAAACGAGAGGAAAAGGATCAAGAGGTGGGTGGAGGGGAAGGAAAGGAGCTGAAGAAAGAAATTAAAATGTGCTCTGTCCATGTACCAACTTCCCCAGGGAATGTAAATATTATGTATTGGACACATGTACTAACTAACAAAAATAAAAGCTAAAGTGTTTGTTACTCTTCTTTGCAGCCCATAGAATTCGCAGTTCACAGGTTGGGGAAAATTGGACAGTCTCCCTCTTTTCCATCAGTCATAGCGTAGAGGCTACTATTTCACTATGAACTTCACATCTGCTCTGACTCTGTCCAACAGCTGTTCAAATTATCTAACCCTTGAGAAGTATTCCCATGAGGAGAGGCTGGGAGAGCAATCCTTTGCCCGCGTGGTCTAGAATCCTTATCCTCCTGGTCAAAAACAGCATGGCACAGTATTCTTTACAGTGTTTTAAGCTTCTGTCTCCTATTGCTCTGGCCCAGTGCAAGTTCTGCATCTGAACTGTGTTGATAAAGCAATAAAACCTTTAAAAAAAATCTTACCTGAAGAAGACATATTTGATTTCGACATGGTCTAAAGGCACAAGAATTCTTCCAAGGCTTCCCTGAGGCATGGGCCTCAGGCCTCTGTCTAATGGGAAGGTTCCCTTATTCTGTTTTGAAGCAGATTTCTGCATAGTTTGTTCACTCGTGCTGATGAATATTTATTGAGGGCCTGGCACTAATATTGGAGAGTGAGTGGCAGACTCTACGTTGCGCACTTATTTCTAACCCTTGAAGCAATATTACTAGAAAGGTGTCATCACCCCATTTTATAGGAAAGAATAAGTATGCACAGCAAGCTGATTAAAACGTAACATAAATCAAGAAGAGTGAAGGTAAATAAGCCTTGAAAGCAAGCCAGGGTGAAGTCTTAGAGAACTCCAAATGCCAAATTTAATCAAAGTTGGAAGTTTATTCAATAGAAAGTGGAGAGCTGCTAAAAAATGATTCTAACCATGATGGGCATCAAAATCTGCATTTTTCCAACTATATGCTTCTGATCTCTCTGCAAAATACAGAGGTATAAATAAGGAAGAGAGCCAGGTATTTGTACCTCCGGAGAAAAATACTAAAGAGATCCTTGTACATAACTGTAGTGAAGAGTCATTGCATGAAAGGCTCTAAGTGTTACACAGTTTTCCTCTTATGAAAGTGAATCTCCCACTGAACAAGGAAAATTTCCCTGTCACCTGAAGATCAAACCTCAAAGATGTCATTTTCCCTGAAACTGTATTAAGTGCTGCCTCGCTGGGCACTGGAACACTTACCCCAGGAACACAAAATACTTTTTTAGAATGATGCTCAGAGCTTCCCAACTCTGCAGGAGGA